GATTTTGTTTGATCGATAATTTCTTGAAATAAATCTTCGTTCTGCATTTCGCCATATAAAATTTTTGCTATTTCTTCACTTGAAACACTGTAAATGTTTTTTAATTTCTATTTTTTGGAAAATCAATTTTAAATAAGCTCAAGCATTTTATACGCCTATGATTTATTCATTGAATTTCTATAAATTCGAAAATGTTTGATTTTCCAATTTATAGAAACCAAATTTAATTTTCGAGAAGATTCATTTTCTTAAAAGTAGAAAATCAAAAGTGATTGTTAATGAAACTCGAAAATCAACTTTGATTTTAGAAAAACGTTGCATTTCTGAATTTAATGAGATAAAAAAAACTTTTATTTCTACGAATTATTTTTTTATTGCAACCATCTAATCGTTCCTATTAACAGTAAGTTTTTATTTCGAATATTTTTTTTCTGTTTTTAGGCTATCTGATCGTTTCAATGAACAGTACCTTTTTATTTAAACTAAATATTTTTTATCTTCTTTCCATCATTCGATCGCCCAAATGGACATTGAACTTTTATTTATCATAATTATTATATTTCCTTTTTTTCTAGATCATGCAATCGCCCAAATGAACAGTAAGCTTTATTTTAAAATAATTATTTTTATATATCTATTTTAGATAAACTAATCGTCCCAACGAACGATAAATTTCTATTTTAAATAATTTTCATATTATGTAAGTCAATATCAATATTTAAAAAAAAATTTATTTTATTTTAGATCATCTGATCGATCAAATAGTGTGGGTGGTTGGGCGTGGAGTAAAGAATAAACGCAATTGCCTTAAATCCTCACCCAACCCACCCATCAAACCACATCGACTCGCTCTCCCACTCAACTCTATACTTACCCACCTACACCCACTCACACCCTTCCACCCATACCCGCCTCTATACCTACCTACCCACGCCTATACCAACTCACGCGCACTTACCCCTATACCTGACCACCCACCGACACCCACACCCACTCCTATATTCACCCACACACCCACGCCCACACCCACCACATCCACACCCACACGCACACGCACACTCACACTCACACTCACACCCTCACCGACACCCACACTCAGAACCTCACCCACACCCACAGGCACACCCAGAACCTCACCCACACCCAAAACCTCACCCACACCCACACTCACACCCTTGTTTGAATAAAATGATCAAAAACATACTTTTACCTATTGTTTATTTCTGATAACAATGACACTGCTAAGGTCTTACTCCTGTCGTTTTTAACCTTTTCGACATTTTTCCTTTCGACATTTGGCTTTTCGACATTTTTTTCTCGATATTTTGCCTTTCGACATTTTTATTTTCGACTAAACTCATACATACCTTTATAACTTAAGAGAAAGTGAAGAAAATCTTTTTTTTCTTTTTCTTCAGTAATAGTTAAAGCGTAATATCTGAGGCGTACCCTTACGACAAAATGTGTTGAACAAAATCACATAACATGAAGGATATACTGTAGAAAATAAATACTTTCAATGATCTAAAACAAAGGCAATTTCATTGATTTGACTAAAAATGTTTTTGTGATTTACATTCAGATTTCAGTTAATATCATCTATCTAGTTTTTATTGTTATGACGGTAAGAATGCATCCACTACTTCTATATAAACAAACATCTACGTAGCTACTATGAAAGATTAATTCAAAAGGAAGTAAATTGTTTGAGAAGGTTGTCGGTAACCAGTTGAATTCCATTTCTCTCGCTCATCAGAGCAAACCATATGGTATTATTAAAAGTTAAAAAATAACGCTAAAAAAAAGAAAAGAAAAAATGGAATAACATTTTCTGATTAAAACAAACGTCAAACAACGTTCATCAGGAAAGACTAACAAAAAAAACATGTTAAATTGAGATAGTTAGGATATCATTGTTATCTTTGAATACAATTAATATGAACATAAAAGTCTGTCAATACGAAGGATAAAACAGTTTGTGTTCTGCTGCATTATATTCCTTATTTTTTTTCTCTTAACTCAGTAGTTTCTGTCAATTTATTTTCTCTCCCGTTGCTACTGACTCTCACTACATTTTTCAAATGTATTACTCATCAAAATGCAATTCTCTATAGAAAATACACCGTCTGCAGTAGCAAATGAATTTCCCTCTCTTTCTCCCAAGTATATACTGTTGAGTTCTGCCCGAGAATTTGTGTTAGTGTAATATAGAAACAAAAAAGGTAACTACAGGTAATAACACTACATTTAAACATCACTTTCCTCGCAAATTGTGTTACATTAGTTTTCTTGTTTCTTGTTGTCTCCAAGGTAAGTGTTTGTATCAACACAGAAAAACTAATTCTGACTCAACGAAAGTAGTATAGATTCTCCCATAGTGTGTAGTTCCCACACGATATTTGCGCATCTGTTGTAATATTTACTTCAATGATTAGGTATGCACCAAACCCACAACTATTCAAAACTTTGGGTGAGGATAAGGTCATGAGATTAGGTTTGACTGAGAGTTTGAGTATTGCGTTAGAGTTTGGATGTTGAATATTGTGTCAGGATTTAACTCAGTGCGTGAGTATTCAGTTACAGTCTGGGTGTTAACTGTTGGGTTTAGCTGAGATTTTGAGTATCCAATATGGATGTGGGCTAAGAAAAGCTATAAACTCACGTTCAGATCTACACCCACTCATCTTTTCTTAACTGATGATGATGCAAGACTAGTATCAAAAGCTCGTAAATAATGAAAAATGTTTTTTTTAATATTTTACTTCGTATTTCGTATATAAAGTGGGTGGGTTTTTAAAGAATAATTGTAGTATTGAGTTTCACCATGATGATTTGCAAGCGTCTCTATATATGGCTGGTGAGGCTTAACTTTTTTGAAATTGACAACTCTTTGACAATCGATGATCAATTGTTAGCAACTCGATTATTTATTATTCTCCTAAATATCTCAGTTGTCATTATCACCTTGTTTGCTACGTTGAGCATGCAAACACATGTCGGAACTGTCACATCACCTTCGATCGATCAATTTGAATATCTGAGCGGTGAATACGTGAATTCTCTCGTTTGTCCTTGTTCACAAACCAGTATTCGCTATGATCAATTTATGTTATTCGATCCACGTTATCATCAAGTGTGTTCGAGCCAATTTATCTCTCAGCAATTCATTTCAACACTATTCAACATAAATATGTCTCGATTCTCAGCACTAGATTTTCGTCTGCTGGCTATGTCCCAGTTTCAGATTTTGACATTGTTGTGTCAAATTGCAGCATCGACTGTTAGTAATGATATCAATCAATTTCTTACACAACAAATGGTTACTAATCAAGTTGTATCACGTCAAGTGCTCGAGGTTCAGATTATAGCACTAGTCGAACAAATGCAAACTACAACTGTAGCGAATGTGAAATACATCGATCAGTTGGTGTCCCTGGTTATTTTCAATAGTGGAATTATGTCAGCTTTGAATACTAACAGATACCTCATCCAGAATCCATTAGTATCGAGCTACTACATTCAACACGGGCAATATTTTGTTGGAGATTATAAAGTCAGCAACGCTTCGCATCTAAATAATACGGCTTGCGATTGTACGTTGATGTCAAACTGCACTTTTCAAGCTGGTTTCTACAACTACTCCATTCGTCCTCCACAGAATGTAGCTGCCTTGTATGTGCCTTCGCCACCACCTATGTTTATCGTGCCAGGTATGTTGGTTGGATGCCTACCTCATGATTCAATGCTTCAGTCGACACTGGAGTGTTTTTACAATCGTTCATGTCTCAATCTCATTGGTATCTCGCAAGCAATTGCCCCACTCAATGCGACTGTTCCATCTCGCTTTAGAGTCAATACAACCGTTAATACTATGTTCGACCAGCTTTTTATTGAAACATGGGGAAATTCGAGTAATTTCACGAGTTACTACGATGCATGTCGTCCGGAAGCATGCTCCTACACCTATACAGAACGTGGTAATTTTCTTTATACAATGACGATCCTGGCCAGTCTTATCGGAGGTCTTGCAACAATACTCGGTATTCTTGTTCCTCTTCTCGTACAATTCTTTCGTCGTTTACTAGGTAAATGCCGAGGTGATACAATTCATACAATAGACAGTGATCCTGCAGGTAGGCGACTTTTTTACTTTTCCTGATTTGTTTCATTTTCACGAAATCATAATCAGAATTTATTTGATTTACGGTATTTCTAAACAAGAAACTGAGTGTTGAATTGTTTGAAAGATGAGTTGTTGTTTGTTCAGATATTGATTTTTTTTTATAAATGACAATAAATGATGATTATTTGAATTGTTTCAGTGCCAAGCATCAGAGAACGCCTTGTGAACTTCGTTCATCGAATTCGTCATTTAATCAGCACATTTAATATGTTCGAAACTTCCTTTTCTACTGTGAACCTGGGAATTCAAACAACGCGCCTCTATATTTTTCTGACATTTACGGGTGCATTCATTTTCTTCAGTTATTCAATGTTGAGTGTAACGACAATAAGTGTCACTATACAACAGCCTTCCTTGGATACCTTCGAAAAACTGTACTCTCAATATTCATCGACACTCGTATGTCCGTGCACTGGTCTCTCTGTGACTTATAACGAGATAATGACTGTTACGCCTCATTTTCATCAGCTTTGCTCAAGTGATTTTGTCCGAGATGATCGCTGGTTACTCTATTTTCAAACACAGGCATCAGTGAATACGACAAACACTTTCACTTTTTATGCCGGCGATTTTCGCGGAGGTGCCGGTTCTAGTCTATTTTATCTGATACAAACGCTATGTGAAACAGCCAAAACAACTGTTATCAATGCCGCAGCTGTCTTCAGCGCTACAAAACTGGTAAGTATATATCCGATGTCACATGTAGTATTCGAAAAGAAGACGACCGAACTAGCACTACAGTTTCAACAAGAGACACAAAATTCTTTTCTGATTCTGTTTTCTCAAGTAAGCACGGCAATTCGAGATAATCAATTCTACAATCCCACAGGCGTTGAAGATATTATAATCATCGGATCCAATCCTTCAACTATTCGATTGCGTCTAACAAACATATATCCTTTGGGATCTATCTGCTCATGTGCCATATCCAGCAAATGCACTCGACCGCTAGGGTTCTATTGCGGTGCAAGCTCATGCCATAGTGTCAACGCACAACCAAACATCACTATTCCAGGTATTTTTGTGGGTTGTACATCCATAGACTCGTTACTACTCTCAACGCTTGACTGTGTCTTCAACCAATCATGTATTCAATTTCTGCTCAATTGGCGCTCATTTGATCTCAATGGAAAGGAGGCGCCAATCGATCCACGTGGAGCCAATACTACAGCACTTAACCCAGATTTGCCTAGTCGATTTTTGCCTAATTCCACATTTGAACCACTAGTATCGAACATGTTTATCGAAAACTGGACATTATCCGATAATTACAGCACCTACTATACAATCTGCAACCCTGATAGCTGCACATACACATACGATCAACGATATGCTCTTGTTGCTGCTATTACAGTTCTCATTGGTTTGTTGGGTGGACTCAGTGTTGCACTTAAGCTGATTTTGCCACTGTGTGTAAAACTGATTGTGGGTATTTTTCATCGTTGTAAAGGCGTCGATAGATTGGGTAAGTTCATAAATTTATTATCTATGTACTTCACCCTGTATCTCATTGTATCAGAAGCGAAACAGATGTTTTTTCTAGACTCTTATTCGTAGAATTATAGTAGTTTCCAACTTCCATTATTTCACATATTTAGCATTAATCCATATCTGTGTAGTGGATACAAATATATTATCTTGAAAATGAGCTATCTCTGCGATTGTTGAATAGATAGAAGTATTTCTTCGATTTTACAACAGAAGATCTTCGTTTGTGAAATAGTAGATGACAGAAAATGCAGGGCTATTGGAACTGAGGAATTGTGGAAGTCGCGACACCTCCCGAATAAGAAAATATGAACGAGGCTTCTATTATATAATTTAGTAATCAAGATCAGTTGTTTTAAATTTCGATGTAATCAATAGCTAACATTTGTGACTGGTTTCACAATTTCTAGATGACCAGAGAAAGTTTATGCGTGCTCCTAGCTCTGAAATCCTTCCTAAGGATTAGTGCATGATCATTCTGCTCACTTCCAAAACTTATGAGTTTGAGAGTCGCTATAAGTAGGATAAATTGAATACAGCATATTCTGTTCATGTTTACCAGCAGTATGTATGCAGAACAGATAGAGGGATGAATAACGACGATATAATCGATTTTTGTTCATACAAAACTGACGAGCCCCTACCCTTAGCCGACTAACGACACCCATGGGTAAATATAGTATATTTGCATACCTAGAACATCTCTGATTTCGAATGGCTAACTTGCATCTCCTTTGACTTCAGTTTACTTGAAAGTATTAACAAAATGTTGCCCGATTATCAACTCAGGAAAAAGCTGTTTTAGTTTCACGACACTTCTACGATCTCGATGCAATCACTTGATGATTGTAGTTTTTAGAAACAATGTGATATATAACTAGCGTTTTAATTGTGCAAGAAAATAGTACAGCAAGTTAATCATCTAGCCTAAGATTTCACATTTACATTCAACAAGAATCTAAAATGATCAAACAGATAAAAAAGGAATTCGTGCGAGTATTGCCTTCTTCGATACACAAATTTATCGCACTCTGGAAAGCAGTATTGTTTAGATGAATAATCAACTTCTTTCATCATTCTAGATCCACAAACAACTGAGCGCGACAATCAGCAGTGCTTACTATTAGTCCATGCATGGAATACGTTGTTGAACATAGATGTTTTCAAAAAACATGTACCAGTGGACCATGATATCGACACGAAAAAACCTAGTCGACTCTACATCATTTTATTGTCTCTAGCTTTCGGTATTATCATTTTCTTCACAACTTTTACTCAACAAACACGCACTATCACAGTTCTCTCACCGTCTCAGACAACATTTTCTCACCTACAAGATCAACAGAAGTCAAGTCTCTCATGTTTATGTTCAGAGGCTTCTATTCAATACGATGTATTTCTCTCGATTTCACCTCGTTTGCATCAAGTATGTTCTAGCGATTTCGTCGTAGAACAATGGTGGAGTTTTCTCTGGGGAATAGATGCTGTGAGCAATTTTCGCGATCTTCAACTTCTTAGCATACAGTTTCGTGTTCTTGCATCATTATGTTCATTAGCACAACAATCTATCGACAATGATGCAAGTGAATTTCTTAGCAATAAATTAGTTACTATAGAAGCAATGTCATTCAGTTCATTTCAAGCACAAATTGATTCGCTTACAGCCACATTTATTGTTCAAACACCAAATAAATTTCGCCGTATTCAATCGTTCATTTATGAAATATTTCGCGCGAATCAGCTGCTGGTTGTACCTGAAACAAATTGGCAATTAGCTTTCACAACTGCGGCAGACAACTACGTTGTTGCCACTGTCCCACGTGTTTCATTTGGAACTAATTATTCATGCATTACATCACTAAGCCGCTTCTCACGACCATTGTATATCGATGCCAATTATAATACAACAGTACTACCTGGAGTGGTGGCAGGTTGTTTACCAATTGATGGTATTCGTCTATCTACTCTAGAATGTTTCTTTGATCCAAACTGTATTTTCAATTTGGCAAGTATTGCATCGACACGCACTACTACTATTTGGATTGCCAGACCGCTCAGTGCTTCAATACCTAGTATTTATCCTTCCAATACCCCCATAAGTAACCTCGTTGATAGCTTATTCGTGGAAGATTGGGGAATTAAAAGTAATTATTCAAGCTACTTCGCATCGTGTGCTCCGAATTCATGTTCATACAAATATATTGATCACAACACAATACTCTACATAATCACCACTGTGCTTGGATTGTATGGTGGATTGACGGTGGCTCTTAATTTTATTGTCTGGCGTGGATGGCGTATGTGTCAAAAAATTCTGAGATCGATGGAAATCGCTCCTTATCCACCATCAACACGAGTAGTTCCTTCTCAGCCAATCATACATATCGAAGGAACACTAAATCATGACTTTTAAAGAGAATTTTTAATGTATTGCTTATTGTCTTATCACTTCATATTTAATCAATAAATAAATGTTATAAAAAACAAGTCAATTTCATACTATTTTCGGGTGTGGGTTTGCGTGAGGTGGATGCGTGTATAATACTAATTATAACCGCAGACCGAAACCCACTCACATTCACACCCTCATTGATAACTTATACCAAGCATTACAACTGAGTGTCAAGTAATACAATCAATACACGATTGCTGTAAGTTTTGTCGAAGTAAATGACATGACCTCAATTGATAGTTTAAATCAGTTAGAGCCAACAATTATGTTCACTCAGATATTCAAGGAAATCCTCCTTGATATAGGACATGATAAACAGGACGTCAAACAATTTACTCCTTACTGTCGACAGAATAACTCCGGATCACCAGTCAATATTGATCGATTTGAAAAAGGATATCATGCTTGATCAGATATTTGGTGGTATACTTACCCATTATTTATCTATTCAATGCTCAATTATGCTCTTCGTTCTATAGAAGGCAATAGCATTGCTAATATGGACTTTGTTATTCATGATCTTCAACAGCAAATTCATTAACTACAGGCTAACAGTTATTATGGCGGGCTTAGAACAGTTGCTCGTATTGACAGTTGCTCACTAGGACACTTGCTCGCCAAAGTGTGAGTGTGGGTGTTGAAACATTAGAATAACCGCAGTCTCACCCACACTGACATCCACACCCGCATCCTCACCCACACTGACATCCACACCCGCATCCTCACCCACACCGACACCCACCCTCAAGAAATCGATAAAACCTATATTATCATAGTTTAGTAAATGATAAAATATTTTATTCGTAACGAATTATTTTACTTCTAATTTATATTTTGTAAGATTACAGAAATCGATCCTTATATGATCAAAATTTGAAAATGATTAGTTTATGTCTTAAGACTTTTGTCTTTATATTTGGGCAACACTATTTTAACTGATATATATGAAAATCCAATTTTATCACTTACTGTTCATATTAATGAAAATAACAAATCAACTTTTGCGAACGATGTGATTACATATATAGTTATTGTATTCTCTAATCTATAATTTTTAAACTTTACAACGTAAATTTGCTTGCACAGTTCACATTCAACTAGTACATGTTCATCTATTTAATTTTACTGATTGTTTTTCTTTATTTCATGATCGTTTCAATCAGTTTCAAACACTTTATATTGAGATGTATTAGATTTAATTTTTCTTGAACAACTGATTATTTTACGACAAAAAAAAAGATTTATTAATAAAGCTCTAAGATATTTGATCATTTATTGATGTTGCAAATCAAATTCATTTACTGTCAAATGAAGATACTCAATATATATCATTATTTGATGAACGATCTTTTAACCATGAATTTTTACTTCAAATTACTTAATAGTTTCCATTATTGAAAAGATTAACTTTGCAATATAAAGAAAAAATTCGTTCAATGATAATCAATATTTATTAATCATTGAATATCCTCATCTTACTTTTAAAAAAAAACATTCTTGAAAAATAATATTTTTCTACGTGTCGATCATTATGGTATAGAAAGCGTGACAAAAACGTTTACAAAAAATACAACACGAATCAATTATATCAAAGTACATCGTTTAGCGCTTATTAGTAAATGTTGTAAACAATATTTTTCTCATACAAAAATATTATGATTATTATCAATAAATTATTTTAATAAAATGTAATTATATCACGACAAAAATTCGAAATAAACATTAAAGAAAAAATATTTCTTATTGAAACATTCAAACTAGAGATAAGAAAACAATCTTTCTATTGTTTATGTTTAGTATCATCAAATTTTAGAATTGATTATTCTATTACTAAATTCATTGAATAGTCAGTACATGAAATAATGTTATGTGTATGTATTTTATAAATATTTTTAAAACCCAAAGTCAATGGATGTTTACAAGCAAAATAATAAATCTGTCAGTCTTATCGTTTTTTATTTTAATACATTAGAAAGTTACTGCTCGTAATTTAACATTGTTGTATACTACTGTAATATCCTTTTTTTCAAATATTTCTCTCATATTCATAAAAAAATGCATAAATATTTTCGAAATAAAATCTGTTATATCATCAAATTATAATATTTTTTTGTTATTGCATTTTAAATATAAATAACCTTGTGTTCTTGTCTATCAAATGAAAACAAGAATAATTCTATATCTAGATGCATACATATATTTGTTGTTACTTTGCCTCGTTTCTTTATATAACTTATATACACAACAAGATGTTAAATGTTCACGAAAAAAAAAATAAGGAATGAATGTG